CAAAAATATTTTATCGACACTTCATAAAAAAATTTTCAGAAAAATTGAAAATTTCAGTTGTCTATAAATATCTCAAAAAAAGTCAAAATATTTTGAAAATTAAATCGTGTAATGAAAATGTCAATCTAAATATTAAATAACTGGTAAAATTCGTCAAAACCATGAATATTTGCGAATTATTTTGTTTTAAATTCATAATATTGTTTGTATTTATACCTAAGGTTATAAAGTTCAACACTAAGTTTTCCATAAGATTTTCTTAAAGTAGCTACAGACAAAACTCAAAGCGTCATTATAGGAAAAATGTTTTGAGCGTTTGAGTTTTACACTTTTATGAAATGGTGTAATGATAACGATTTATCCTCAAACCCGGTATATGTATATCTATGATAATATAAGGTATTATGAATTATGATAACTACATGCAATATTTTTGGAAAAAATGATTAACCATGCCTTTTTCAAAATGCGTCCTAATTGAAAAATAAAATATWTGTTTCAAAATAGAATATATGACAATATTTAAATATAATATATTATCCTAGACTGACAAATCATCTCCGTTCAGATTCGTTTTTCGTAWWSAATGATACCTATCATTGCATTCAAATTTAATCTACCCTAGTCAGAGATCCACCCCACCCCCTAATGTATAGCAGAGCGACATCCATTTACCTTCTTTTTTATTTTTGTTTTTACAAATAACAATTCAATTTTATTAATAGGATAAAAAGCTTCAAAATGTAATACAAGGATCCTTATACATTGACGCAATGGTAGTTATAAAATACGTAAATATTCATAAAAATTTATCTATTAAAATCTAAGATTTGAAAATTCAATATAAGATTCTTTATGAATTTGTCTACTTTTATCAAATATAAAAACCGGAAAGTCAAATTACATTTTTATGAGTTATTGAATTACAAAATAGGATATTCGCTCTATTTCTCTAATGTATATAACTATACCGATAAATTCTTGTTTTGTTGTAATTCAAAAACGTTTATTTTATCAATTCCAATACTTGATACAATTTTCAATATATTTCAAAAATCTTAAAATAAAGTTATTTAAAGACATTAGAAATTTTCCGTTTTTTTAAATATTTTATTCTATAAATGTCGAAATTTTTTTATTTATTGGGTCATCATAAAACTTGAAAATTTAAGACAAGGTCAAATCTAAGATTTGAAAAGAAAATTTTTTATGAATTTCTATATACCTTAAAATAATTTGCGAATTTTCGTGATTTTTACGTATTTTGTCAAAATTCAAACTTGGAATGCTTATAAAAAGAAATTGTRATTATATATTTCTTTAATTTTTCAACTGTTATCGTAACAATATGTTAAGAGCCTTGTATTAATAACACTATATGTTAAGTGTCTTAAATTAAATTTCAAAAATYGAAGCACTTTTACTGCCTTAAAACGTGATGACAGACTTATTATAGGTAATAGGTGTATTATTTCTTTAATCGTACCTATTGGCTATGATAAGAACTGATATAAATAATAATTTTYTCAATATTTTATTTTATTAAAGTGGAATTCAACGAGTAGTTGTTAAAGATTTACCAGTTTAAGCATAAACAATTGATTAATAGAGAGATAATTTACATTTATAATCGAATATAATTTTCTATAAATTATTGTAGCAACTAAAATCATTATTAACTTACCTGTAATAGACCAAATGCCAAAGCAACATACATTATAATAGTCAATCTATTTTTCACTCGATTGTTTAATCCATTATAGCATCCTTTTTGATAAATTATCCTTTCATCAAATAAATTCCTGCATAATGCACCTAATTCAACTGGTAAGTTTTGACAACATGAAACAGGAACTAGATTTTCTGGGAATATAATAGACCAATCTCTAGGTGTATCTACTCCACAACACTCTAGCTGAATTAAATCATATTAAACTTAAATTACACATTGTTGTGACGAAAATACCTATATATTATTTTAAATAAGTAGGTTATAATATTTCAAACGGTTCAATTTTCAAAAACGAACTGAAAATTGAAAGCACTTAAACTGAATCAATAATTTAATATTGGTTTTAAAGTAGACATATATAATATATATACCTATAGGTACATACAGTGGCATACCCAGGATTTTCGAAKGGGGGGGGGCTAAATCTATATCGGTATTCGGTACCATAATAAACACAACGTTTATGCTTTGCTTATACTAGGTCATTGTTACTAAAGATAATACGTTGTATTCAATACCGTTTTTTAGAAATATCATGGTTTGTACTTTGTCTTTTTTARTATAAAATGTATTCCAAAACATGGCCAATGGGAGGGGCTGAAGCCCCCTAAGCCCCCCCCCCCCCTGGGTACGCCACTGGGTACATACCTCTTGCTAATTCACTTAAATTCAATTATTTTTATAATTTATTTTAATGGGTTAATAATAAATTAACCTAATAAAATTTATCGTTTTAAAAAAAAAAATTGAAAACAATGCATATAAATTACATAAAATGTCATATAATGTTATAACTGTTATAAGTTTTAAATAACGGTTCGAGTTTGAAAAAATATTTAAAGTTTAGTTCAGATAAGGTTTGCACAGAACGTTGAGATGAAAAACGTAACTATATAAAATGTATGGACATACTTTTCGTTGAACCGTAGACCACGACTGCCGATCAGTTTCATCAAATGAATATTTTCCCATGGACGTTTTTAGAGAAAATCTCAAATTATTATTAAAATTGTCTTTCGATACTGATGACATAATAGATAATAATACCTCAATCACCAGAACCGATAATAAAATTAATGTAAACTATATAGACAAATATAAATTTAATTACTATATAATATTCAATTTAATATATTATTATGATTGTTAATATAGGTACCTACCACTATTGATAAATTGAAATTTTGTTTGTTAATACAATAAAATCCAAATATACAAGTTGCTATAATACATAAACCCAATATAATAAATAATATTGGTGGAGCAGTAATTGAAGCGTTTAAATAATTTGAAAAACGTCCCAAATCTACAATAACTATGATGCCAACCACTATTAAAGCCACTCCTGTAATCTAAAAATGTTGTTAGGTATTTTAAGTATTAGAAATATTAGAAACCATATTATGTATAAACATATCATATATTATTTAGTATTTTAAATATTGATTTACCCCATAAATCACATTAAAGACGAATAACAAATATTTTACAATATTAATACTTCCAGATTCCATTATATTTTCTTAACAAATTTTATAGATGTTCCTGAAATTGATTTACATAATATACATTATCATATAATATATACATAATGTTATAGTAAAGAGTACATACAATTATTTGTGGGTCTTTGAGTGAACTGCTAAACAAAAAATACTGAGTACTTATAAGTAAAAAATATATTTAAGTTGATTCTCGTAGAGTGTATCAAAAATTCAAATCATTCTGATAAAAATGTAAAAATTATTATAATTATATCTTATTTTTGAGTCGTTCGCTATTAAATTTAATAAAAGTATTTCTAGTACAAACGAMAAAGTTCGAATAGTGTACAAACAAAAATAAATTCGGTGAAGGCGAATATAAAGTACATCGGCACGTAGAGGTAGTTATAGTCGTCAGGTGATTGACACATTTTTGATGTGTTCATATATGTATACTATATTATAAGCCTAAAGGCTTTACCAGGCATATATTATTCTTTTTTAACAACAGTTGTCTAGGTGATAGTAAATATACACACGCATGTAACACAAATACCTGCATTAAAAGGAAAAAAGGAAGTCAATAATATTAAGTTGAGTAATAATGTATTATATTAAAAAAGGTCAACACCTTTAAATTGTTTTCTTCAATAGGTAAGTGCTCTGAAAACTGCAAAGAATATAACTATCTTAATATAACAGTTACTTATATTAAAATATTTGAAATGATTAATATAAAACCATATTTTAGATACCATGTTATTAAAATTTTTCACTAATTTTCAGTTATAACTACAATTATAACTTACACCCGCACATTGTACATATTATACAAATAATAAGTCACCAATCCTCATTTAAACGTACATTCAAATATTTTTAAATATCTATTGTCTAGTGGTAAGAATGGCTATTAGTTCAGGAAAGAAGGTATAAAAATAAGAAAAGAGTTGGTGGCAAAGTTGATGAACAGCAAAATTAAAAAATACTGTTTTGTTGTGGTAATCGGAAAAAAAGCCCCAACTAAATTCATAACACATTTTTATCATAGTGTACATTTTATAATTTTAAATTTTTAAACAATATAGGTACCAATAATAATACCTATATTTTATACCTATTTTTACTTAACACTTCTAGAACTCTATAACCATAAATATAATATAATAAAATACTAGTTTTTTATCAATATGTTTATTATTTATTGTTTTTCACTAATTATTAAATTATTTTACTAGAGTATTATGTATCTWATTTATTATAGTAGGTGATATATTTATTGTATTGAAAGGTAACTATAAAAAAAATTACATCTAGTATAAAAAATAGTTAAAAAATCATAAAATATAAACCATAAATCAAAACATATAATATTATAGATTAATATTAAGAGTTAAATAACATTTCTTTACATGTAATACTTATTCTAAAATATACAAATATAGCTGCAATAAAATAATTTTTTTTTTCCTATGGTATCGAGGACCGGAGAAGGAACTATGTTTCCAATACTTCTCCTCCGGCCCCCATCGTTTATTGAATAATCATTACAAAACCTTATTAGCAGTGGTGGGCCAGTCTCCCACTCACTACTATCACATTATACACATCATATTTTTATATTTTATTATAAATAGTYTAGRTCCCGTCTTYCGCCGTCGCGTCWCTGGCTATGGTGGTCTGCCGGGCTCTTTCCTCCTCTTCTTTAGCGGACAGKATGCCTTCCACCATACCATAGAACAGCCTGAACTGTTCCTCGGCGTCTCTTAGTATCACAAACTTCTCAGTGAGATCCTCCGGGAGAAGCTCAAACTCTGGGCCGCAAATAATCCGAGGAAGATCAGCCACGGTCGGTCGATGACCTAGCTGAGCGCTCAGCTGATCGCGGAATCGGTCCCAGTAGGTGCACTCAAACAGTGTGTGCTCTGCGGTGTCGGAGCTGTCCAAACACTGGTAGCAGTGTGGGCTGTCGGCCCTTGCCATCCGGTTCAGGTACCATTGAAAGCATTTGTGGCCCGTTAGTGCCTGTGTCATGTGGAACGTCAGAGGCACTAAYGGTACAGTTCTGCCTAACCATCTACCTATATCCGGAATGGCGCGACGCGTCCATGCGGCTTTTGAGGTCGCTTCCTACCTTGCCTGCCATAGAGAAATTGTAGTTTTCTGCTCCTCGAGTTTGACTGCTAGTTTAGACGGACGCCGTTCTCCTGGCTCAAAAGTGGCGTTCAGCCGAGACCTTATTCTCCCTCTCTCGAGCCCGGTCAGATCTGCCAGCGGCGTGCAGGCCAGAACCAGCGCGGCCTCATCCGAGATGGTTCGGTAGGCCCATATTGTCCTCAAGGCGGCGGACCTCTGCCGGCGGATAAGGCTCGCCCTAGTTCTGGCGACATTGGCAATCGAATTGATCCATAATGGGGCGGCGTAGAGCAGCTGGCTGTCCACGACTGAGCCAATCAGTTTCCTCTTCCATTTCCCTGGGCCTCCTACATTCGGCATCAGCCTGGCCAGCGCTGCCGCTGTCCTGGTTGCCTTTTTGGCAACGGTGTCGACGTGTGCCGCGAATGTGAGCCCTTTGTCTAATATAACCCCTAGGTATCTTATCTTGTTGAAAATTGTGATCTGATGACCACCGACAGTCAGYCGTGGGGGGACAAACGCACGTCTACGCGAGAGAATAACCGCCTCGCTCTTACGGTGAGCCAGCTCAAGGCCCCTGCTTGCCATCCAGCTATCGACGGCCTCAAGAGTAGGGTTCATTGCGTCCTCCAAAAGCTGACCTGTCATGGCTATTCCCACCAAAGCGATGTCGTCCGCGAATCCTATCAGCTGCACTCCGGGCGGCACGTCCATCTTTAGGAGGGAATCGTAGGCGATGTTCCATAAGGTCGGTCCGAGKACCGACCCCTGCGGGACTCCACAGGTCACTGGCCTAGATGCCATATCCTCGCCTGTCAGCAGCACTCTGTCTGATAACCATGATCGAAGCATTTCTACCAGGTACTCGGGGACGTTAATGCTCCTCAGGGCGGCGTCGATGACTGGCCACCTGAGAGAATTGAACGCGTTCTTGACGTCCAACGTCACGAGGACGCATAGGTTCTTCTTTCCAGGCATAGCAGCTGCTTGTGCGGCAATGCTCAGGAGTTTGCTGACTGCTGACTCTGTGCTTACCCCCTTCCTGAAGCCGTATTGGTTCGGGGCTCTTCGCGGGCCTCCGTGTTCGTTGAGGTGCTCCTCAAGTCTTTGGAGCAAGAGGCGTTCAAGCAGCTTGCCAGGGGTGTCAAGCATACAGATGGGCCAGTAACTCGAAGGGACGTCTGGAGGTTTGTCTGGGCCTTTCCGCCGCAGAACGAGCCGTGCCCTTTTCCATCGAGGCGGAAACACCAGTGCGTGAAGACAATCTTTAAAAATTCTGAGGACTGCTTGAGGCTGAGCGTTCGCGAGAGCCCTGAGAACCTCGTTAGGGATCCCCGAAGGTCCGGCCGCTTTACCCGGTGTGAGTCTCTGTACTGCTCTCCGTAGGTCTTCCGGTGTGAACTTCGGGATGGTTCTGTTGAACTCAAGCGTGTTCCGGATAGGGTCGAACGCTTGGAAAATGTTATGTACGGCAGCGGACGGCGCTGCATTCCATTCCGTGAATGGAGCCTTGGGGAAAAGAGAGTCRGCGATCATGGCCTCCCTGCCCCTGGAGTCAGCAGCTGGGTTTTGGACGCCTAGCCTTTTCATTACCAGCTTGTACGGTCTGCCCCAAGGGTCGGTGTCGACCTGTTTACAGAGGTCGGCCCAGAACTTTCTCTTTGCCTCGCGGATGACCATACGAAGCTTTCTTTTGGCTGCGATGTAAGCAAATCTTGCCTCCTGGCTTCCCGGCTGGCCTACGCGTCTGAGGCAGGCTTGGTAGCGCCTACGGAGGTTAGGGACTGCTTCCGCAGTT